GTCCTCTACACGAATGCCGACAAAATCGTTATGTATGAGCCCAACCATCTGGTCGGGAGGGCCCACTTCTGCCTGTCCGAGCCCGACAAAATGGAGCAGGCTGATGCACAGTTCACTTTCGTGCTCAACCAGGCGCCCAACAACATACCGTCCCTCTTGGGTATGCTTTCACTGTCTGTCCACGAGTTTATCAATTGTTTTGTAACCCAATTGTGTGTCCCCTATGTGTGTGTGTCTGTGCGTATGGTTGGGCACCGGTAGGCAAGGCGTGCATCAGTTTCAATAAGAAAGAGCCGAAGACGGCGCTCACGTTCTACAAGAAGGCGCTGCGGATTAACCCCAACTGTCCGGCGAATGTGAGGCTAGGAATGGGTCACTGTTTCTACAAAATGAATAAACCCGAGAAGGCGAAGCTGGCCTTCGAGAGGGCCCTACAGCTCGACCCCCAGTGTGTCGGCGCTCTCGTCGGCCTCTCTATACTCGAGTTGAATCTGAAGACCTCGGAGTCGATCCGACGCGGCGTTCAGATGCTGTCCAAAGCGTACACCATAGACCCGACGCACCCCATGGTTCTCAACCATCTGGCGAACCACTTCTTCTTCAAGAAGGACTACCAGAAGGTCCAACACCTGGCGCTACACGCCTTCCACAACACGGAGAATGAGTCAATGAGAGCCGAGAGTTGTTACCAAATGGCCAGAAGTTTTCACATTCAGGAGGACTTCGATCAGGTATGCACTCAACCATTGAGTTGATATGAGAATGTCATGTAAACCCCTCTATGGTGTGGCACCGGGTGTGCGCACAGGCCTTCCAGTACTACTATCAGGCGACCCAATTCGCGTCGGCGTCGTTCGTTTTGCCGCACTTTGGTTTGGGACAGATGTATATCCATAGGGGAGACGTCGACAACGCCGCCCAATGTTTCGAGAAAGTGCTTAAATCTAATCCCAATAACTACGAGACTATGAAGATCTTGGGCTCTCTGTACGCGCAGTCACCCAATCAGGCGAAGAGGGATAACGCCAAACAGTTCCTGAAGAAAGTGACGGAACAACATCCCGATGATGTCGAGGCCTGGATTGAATTGGCACAGATCCTCGAACAGTCTGACCTCCAGGGTATTTATCAACCGCTTCTGTAGTGATAATTGTATTCATTAAGTATTTGTCTGAACTGATTGATAGGCGCTCTCAATGGCTACGGAACCGCTATTAAGATATTCCGAGAGATCTCGAGGAATGCGACAAACGTTGAGATTCCGGCCGAGATCTACAACAACGTGGCGGCCCTTCACTTCCGGTTGGGTAATGTGAAGGAAGCCATGAATAACTACTCGCTGGCTATGAGACGCTGTAATGAGGAGATGGAGCACGAGGTGGAGGAGCACTACTTTAAGTCCATTTCCGTCACTATTAACTACAATTTGGCGCGTCTTCACGAAGCGAACCACGACTACAACAAAGCCGAGAATATCTACAAAAGCATTCTTCGAGAGCATCCCAATTACGTGGACTGTTATCTCCGACTGGGCTGTATGTCCAGGGATTTGGGACAGATCTATGAGGCCAGCGATTGGTTCAAAGAGGCGCTTCAGGTTCGCCATCATTTGCAGTGTTTTGTGATTCAATTGAAATGTGTTTTGTTATGGATTTGGTTGTGAATAAAGAATGTGTTGTGCGCACAGGTAGAGAAGGATCATCCGGACGCGTGGTCTCTCATAGGGAACCTACACATAGCGAAGCAGGAGTGGGGTCCCGGACAGAAAAAGTTTGAACGCATTCTGGCACAGGAGGCCACCTCTCAGGACACCTACTCTATCGTGGCGTTGGGCAACGTATGGCTCCAGACATTACATCAGCCCTCGAAGGATAAGGACAAAGAGAAACGACATCAGGAGAGAGCCATTCAGATGTACAGACAAGTGCTTAAGATTGATCCCAAGAATATATGGGCCGCCAATGGAATCGGCGCTGTTTTGGCTCATAAGGGTTGGTATCTATTATTAGTTTAGTATAAAATAGAAATTAAATCTCATATTTTTGTTTGCAATTGAAAGGCTACATAAGTGAGGCCAGGGATGTGTTCTCACAGGTGCGTGAGTCGACTGCGGACTTTGCGGACGTCTGGATAAATATCGCTCACATTTATGTGGAACTCAAGCAATACGTGAATGCAATCCAAATGTATGAGAACTGTTTGCGACGATTCTATTCGCACACAAACACCGATATATTGCTATACATGTCGCGGGCGTACTTCAAATGGGGAAAACTCAGACAATGCAAGAGTGTGTTACTGAAGGCCCGACGGGTCAACCCTCAGGACAGTGTCCTGCTCTACAACCTGGCGCTCGTACTCCAGAAACTGGCCGCCAGTGTGTTGGAGGACACGAAGAGCTCACTGCGGACTGTGTTGTCGGCCGTTCACGAGTTAGGTTTGGCTCAGAAGTACTTCGCGTTTCTTAAGAAAAATGGCGATAAAATGAAATTTGATCTACAATTGGCTGAAATCGAAGAGAGACAGTGCGCCGACCTATTGGCACAGGTATGTCATACATGCACTCAATTGTGTTCTACTATTTAACTCTAATACCCGTTCCCTCTATGCGATGGTTAGGCTCAGTATCATGTGGTGAGAGCGCGGCGTATGGATGAAGAGGAGCAGGAGATCCGTCGCAAACAGGAGGAGGAGAGGGAGGCGTTGCGGCAGAAGATGTTATCCGTGCAGAAGCTGAAAGAGGAGGAACGGGTNATCTCCTCATTACAGCGTCTCATAGCCAGCGAGTAGTTATTCATGGCTTCCTTCACATTACCCAACCGGAAGTGAAGGGCCGCCACGTTGTTGTAGATCTCGGCCGGAATCTCAACGTTTGTCGCATTCCTCGAGATCTCTCGGAATATCTTAATAGCGGTTCCGTAGCCATTGAGAGCGCCTATCAATCAGTTCAGACAAATACTTAATGAATACAATTATCACTACAGAAGCGGTTGATAAATACCCTGGAGGTCAGACTGCTCGAGGATCTGTGCCAATTCAATCCAGGCCTCGACATCATCGGGATGTTGTTCCGTCACTTTCTTCAGGAACTGTTTGGCGTTATCCCTCTTCGCCTGATTGGGTGACTGCGCGTACAGAGAGCCCAAGATCTTCATTGTCTCGTAGTTATTGGGATTAGATTTAAGCACTTTCTCGAAACATTGGGCGGCGTTGTCGACGTCTCCCCTATGGATATACATCTGTCCCAAACCAAAGTGCGGCAAAACGAACGACGCCGACGCGAATTGGGTCGCCTGATAGTAGTACTGGAAGGCCTGTGCGCACACCCGGTGCCACACCATAGAGGGGTTTACATGACATTCTCATATCAACTCAATGGTTGAGTGCATACCTGATCGAAGTCCTCCTGAATGTGAAAACTTCTGGCCATTTGGTAACAACTCTCGGCTCTCATCGACTCGTTCTCGGTGTTGTGGAAGGCGTGTAGCGCCAGGTGTTGGACCTTCTGGTAGTCCTTCTTGAAGAAGAAATGGTTCGCCAGATGGTTGAGAACCATGGGGTGCGTCGGGTCTATAGTGTACGCTTTGGACAGCATCTGAACGCCGCGTCGGATCGACTCCGAGGTCTTCAGATTCAACTCGAGTATAGAGAGGCCCACGAGAGCGCCGACACACTGGGGGTCGAGCTGTAGGGCCCTCTCGAAGGCCAGCTTCGCCTTCTCGGGTTTATTCATTTTGTAGAAACAGTGACCCATTCCTAGCCTCACATTCGCCGGACAGTTGGGGTTAATCCGCAGCGCCTTCTTGTAGAACGTGAGCGCCGTCTTCGGCTCCTTCTTATTGAAACTGATGCACGCCTTGCCTACCGGCGCCCAACCATACGCACAGACACACACACATAGGGGACACACAATTGGGTTACAAAACAATTGATAAATGAGTGGACAGAGAGTTTCAGCATACCCAAGAGGGACGGTATGTTGTTGGGCGCCTGGTTGAGCACGAAAGTGAACTGTGCATCAGCCTGCTCCATTTTGTCGGGCTCGGACAGGCAGAAGTGGGCCCTCCCGACCAGATGGTTGGGCTCATACATAACGATTTTGTCGGCATTCGTGTAGAGGACAGTCGCCTGAGCGAAGAGTTCGCGCTTTTTGTCGCGATTTTTCTCGCGATTGGCTTTTGACACGTAAAACGCGGCCAAAGTGTCCAACGCTCGCATCTGATCCCTCTCGTAGTCCTGATAGGACAGGGAGGCGTCCGTACGCGACATCTCCAGCAACTGCACGAAGTCATCCGAGCAGTTCTGCTTATAGTACGCCAATGCTATCCATACACACATCCAGATCATTAGACATCGAGTTAGTGGTCATGGCAATCACTGGTCACACAATGGTCTCAATCAAGTCATACCCAATTGGATCCATACATTCAGAGGTGCCGTCTCTGACTGCAAGATCTGCAGCACTTCCCGACAATCGGGCAGTTCATCCAAATCGAGTTCAATCACCTCATCCGCCGACTCCTTCAGTGGTATTTCGATGGTATGTCTGGACATTGTTTACCACAAGAAGTGACAATCACTGGAATCAATGAATTGTTTTGATTCACACTTTGTTGTGGTTTTCATTCAATCAAACGCCGATTTACTGAAAGCATTCAATGTATGGCTCGTATATGTGTTAAGCATATCGCATAAATTGATACCATTTTACATATATGTTAACATACGTTGCATATCAATAAAAGTACTAAAATGTGGCAAATAAATGGCATAATAATGTTGAAATGTTTCAAAATATTTGTTTCATAAATCAAGTTTATGTGTTAAGCTATTTATTGACAGCATTTTAGTACTTTCATAGATATGTATGCAACAAATAAATAAATCTAAGAATTTTATATAAAATGGTATCAATTGAAGTGATTTGTATAACACATATGATTGTGAATTGCATTCATGTTTAGAAAATCGCATTTAAATTTCAAATATAAGGACTTAGAAAATAGTTACAGAATCTGTATTACAGAATAACAGAATCTGTATTACAGAATAACTGAATATTACAGAATAACATACAGTACTGTAGTTTTCATTACAATTGATTATGAGTTTGAACTAAGATTACGGCATAGGATATGATGATTGAAATTATAGTCAAAAATGTTTTGCAATTAATCAAATAGAAACCAAATGCTGTCAAATAGATATCGCTTTGAATTTTACGAATAATTTGTGCTAGATTCAAATCATACAACTTCGACATTCATTTGTTGTGTATGACTAGAGTATTTTTTAACTAGATGACAATTACAGTTATCAATGAGTTTAGACATAGACTTTGGCACAATATTACAGACATAACTTGATGCAGTCAATTTCAGCCAATTCACAGAAATATGTGGAATAATATGTATATAACTGTTGTTAAAATGAATGGACAAAAACACAGAATTTATGATCTGATTGTCAATACATAGGGATATGATTAGCAGTAATGATGAGCTGAATATTTTGTCTAAACTTTTCACTTCTCTCTTAATTTGTAACACAAATGAGTAGTAAATATGAGACTTAATTGTAGATAAATTATGATTAATATACATAATTTGCAGTCTTAATAGATAACACTCGTATAATAACAATGCGATTACAATGGATTGATTGGATCTCAAGAATGGTGTCTTTAAAAATAGGATTCCTCGGAATACATTGAATTGAAAATCATATATTGCATTCAATAACAAATCTTACGTCAATGGCAAGTACTTATACACAACTGTTTCTATGGTATATCATGAGCCCATTTATGAAAATTTCTCAATTAATTGGTCAAAATTAAACAATTGTGTGTCCCGTTATAGTTATATAGCTTAGGTACTATAAGCCGTACATATAGCCTTGTACATATAGGTACATATAGCCGTTCAGTACTATTAATTACCACGAGGTAAGGTTTAGTTGATTTTATATTCCTATAATTTTTAACTATTTGTAATATTTTATTAAATTTATTTCAGTAATTGTTTGAAAATGTTGTTATCAAAATTATTGGCGATTTTTCTGTTTATTAATGGCTTCACTAAAAGCTTTGCATAAAGTGTTCACATTTTGTAGGTTAGCGTTCACCCCAAGAAAACCTAATCTCCAGATCTGATCACTTATTGCTCCCAAACCACCACTTATTGTAATGCCATACGAGTCGCACAAATCGTTGATAACTTTCTGGCCGTCGATGTGGTCGGGAATCCAAAGGGCCAGTAGTGCTGACAACCGGTGCTCTGGTTTTTGGACTACAAATTGAAGGCCAAGAGATGTGATCTCTTTTTGCACAAATAGACTACACTTTTGGTGTCTTTCGATCACATTCTGTAGGCCCTCCTCAACAACCATTGCCAGCGATTCCCTTAAGCCATACATGAGCTGAACGGCTGGTGTGTAGTGATAGACATACTTATAGTCGTTGTCTGAGTCGAGACACCAGGCCTTCGCCAGTAAAATGAGATCCAAATATAAGGAAACGATTTGTGTTTTACGGCTTTTCATGCGCTCAACAGCTCTGGGACTCAGACTTATAAAAGACACGCCGGGAGGGACTGACAGGGCTTTCTGGGAACCACTGAACACGGCATCGATTTCCAGTTGATCCGCATTGAGTGGCGCACAGCACAGGGATATCACGACATCCACTAGTAGTAGGCATCCGTTTTCATTGCATACATTCGCCAAGTTTTCCAACGGCTGGAGTGTACCCACACTGGAGTCCCCGTGACAGACATACATGAGCCGTGGTTTGTGTGCTTTGATTGCCTCTAAATGGATACCAATAATAAAAATGAGGCAAAAATTATTCACTTTTCAAACAAAACCTTCAATTGGTTTGAAGCCAAACAGATGGCCCGGTCGCTGGACCCGCAACTCAACCACATTATAGCCGTGCTTTCGACCGATCAGTGCCGCCCTTTCGCCCCAAAATCCGTGCACTAATACGAGGAATGTATGGCCCGTTTCCAGTAGACTACAAATGGCCGCTTCCATCGCACAGTTACCCGAACCCGTCAATGCCATCGAGTATTGGTTACGGGTTTGAAACACGTAGCGAATTCCGGTAGAGATTTCCCGCAGCACCTGTAGGTCGCAACTCGTATAATATTTATATATCAAATGGTTTAGTGTATGAATACTTCGAGGAACTTGGGGTCCATAAAGTGGATGAGCGGCTGATTAATGGCGTCCATAACTCTTGGGCTGACATTAGTTGGTCCGGCGTTCATAAGCATCTTGTAATCAATTCTGAGTGGTTTTCGCAACTCTACCGGCGCTTCAATATATTCTGAACTCATTTTAATATAATTAATATGTTTATGAAAAGTTTATAATATTATAAGACAATAATTTTGATTAATCCTCGACTGTATATAACTGTATTTATATTTGAAAATTAGTTCTTGTCCTCATAAGTCCTGAATTATCAAAGTTAAAAGAGTTACCTTGCTTAATATAAATGAGAACAATTGGTATAAACTTTACTGATAAAAATATTGCAGTATTGCGGTTAAAAATTACAGTAGATAGTTGTAAGACATTGTATAATCATTATACTATACTAGTAATGATTAAACTTGCTAGATTATATTACAGAAAATTCTGTATTAACAAAATTAAATTAAGAAATTTAAATGTATATAAAATACTTTGCATCAGAAGTTCTAATTGAGAACCTATTGATTAGATAATTAGTTTAGTGAATAATGAAAATTTTAACAACAATACAATACTGTACTGTATAGTAAAAGTCCTCTAATATTACTATTCAAATCGTGACAGAAATGCAAAATAATCTTAAAATAAGGACTTTATGTGAATTAATTTGATAAAAACTGCTGCTCTGAAAGTTAAATAAGATAATATCGTGGACAATAAGTTATATTTAAATTTATAATAAATTTCTTAATAGTTTTTTAATATATGAAACTTTATTTAAAATATTTTCTGCGGATTCATCAGATTCTTGGGATCAAACGCCAACTTCAGACTATTCATGACATCGATGGCCACTGAATCATACTGTTTGTACATCAGGTGTATC